CACTGCCGTAGGGCAGTACCCACCCCCACAGCCCCACCCGACAACCCAAACACCCACCCCCACAGCCCTTGCACACCACTTTGACACCCTATCCCTCCGTGAACCCTCTTGGTATATGGACACCGGTGCATCCCATCATATTGCCTCTGACCCAGGTACTATTTCTCATGTTAATTCTCAATCTTTACATTCACCATTATATATCACTGTTGGTAATGTATCTAAGGTTAGCACTACGGCTGTTGGTAGCCATACCCTCCCCACCACCCCTTCCCTATCCCTGAAAAATATTTTTATTTCTCCTCACATCACCCACAACCTCATCTCTATTCGTCAACTCACTCGTGATAATGACTGTTCTGTTGAATTTGACGCTAATGGTTTTTCTGTGAAAGATCGTCAGACGGGCACCGTGATACATCTATGTAAGGTAGAGTCAGGGGCGGACCTACATATTGTCCAGTGGGGTTAATTGACATCACTAGAATCTATGTAAGGTATATGTAGTACTCCCTCCATCCCAAAATGATTTGCCTCTTTACTGCTATGGTGTCTAGATAACTTTTGTTTCTTTCCATGTTTTAATTGACCATTTGGTAAAATAAAAGTCGCCAAGAGAGGAACCCAAGGACTAGATGGTGGCACTAAAGGTGATAAGCAAAGAGATTTCCAATGCCGTTTAGCAGAGGAAGCAAAATGGGATGGACATGGAAGTGCGAACGAGTTATGGTGTGATATGGCAAATACTATTAGAAAGGTGGAAAAAGAAACCTTTGGAGAAACTAGAAGCACACTATTGCAAGAGACAAAGAATCATGGTGATGGGACACTACGATGCAAGGGAAGGTAAAGGTAAAACAAGAATGTCTCAAAGAGTCGTCTTTATATTGTAATGTGGGAAAGTTAGGAAAGATATAAGACGGGTAAGATGGAGACACAAGCGGTTGTAAGTGAAGCAAGAATGAGAGCATATGAAGGGTTTTACAAGTCGTTGGGTACAAAAGAAGGGGAAAAATTGTAGTTACAAGATTGTAAAGGGTCGAGAAAGAAGAACCTGAGATTTGGACCCAATTAAGTGCATCAAAGATAAGAATGATGAAGCTTTGGTTTCCGATGAAAGAATAAACAAGTGGTGGAAGAGCTACTTCAATGATCCGTTTAATGAGGGGTATGCAAATCTCTCAAGTCTTGATTGGCTACACACGAGGGACGAGGACCAAAACATCAATTATTATCGGACAATTCAAGAAACTAGAGTTAAGCGGGCCTTAAAACAGATGAAGAATAGCAGAGCAGTGAGCCCTGACAACACCCCGATTGAAGTTGGGAAAGGTTTAGGAGGAAAAGGCATTTGGTGGCTAACTAAGCTTTTAAGGAGATTTTGGAGTCGGAGAACCAATTTGGTAAGCGAGGAAGATCAACTACATAGGCTATATTCTTGGTGAGGAGAATGATGGAAAGGTACCGAAGTGAGAAGATTTACACATGACTTTTATTGATTTGAAAAAGACACATGATAAGGTACCAAGAGAAGTATTGTGGAAGGTGTTAGAGAAAAAAGGAGTAAGGATTGCATATATTAGTATGATTGAGGACATGTACGATGGTGCTACAACAAGCGTGAGAAAGTCAAAGTGGCGTGACGGCGGAATTTTTCATCGGTGTAGGATTTACACCAAGGATCACCGCTAAGCCCATATATTTTTACACTAGTATTGGGCATTCTTACTGAGCATATCCAAACTAAACTATGGTGCATGCTTTTTGCCAATGACAACGTCCTTATGGTCGAATCATGAGAGGATTTGAATGAGAAGTTAGATACGTGGGGTAAGGCTTTGAAGTTGCATGACTTGTGTATATGTCGCACTAAAACAGTGTATATGGAGTGTAAGTTTAGCAACAAAATGAGAAAGAGTAACCTCGAGGAGAAAGTCGGAGAAAATACTATACCACAAGTAAAGAGATTTAAATATCTTGGGTGAACTATTCAAGACTATGGAGAAAAATAGGATGAAGTTAACCACAGGATTCAAGTCGGTTTGTCAAAATGGTGGAGTGCTTAGGGGTTTATATGTGACAAAAAAGCACCTTTAAAGCTCAAGGGATATTTTACTGTGGTACAATTAGACCAGCTATGTTGTATAAAATAGAGTGTTGGGCTACAAAGGGTGCACATGAATACAAGCTTAGTAAGGTCAAAATGTAGATGCTTCGATGGATGAGTGGTCATACGCATATGGATAGAATGAAGAATGAAGATATGAGAGCTAAAATTGAAGTGACACTTATTATAGAGAAGATGGTGGGAAGCCTTTCTAAAGTGGTTCGGACATGTAGAGCGAAGACCCATAGAGTATTTGATGAGAAGGGTTGATCAAGTGATGAATAGACATGTGACTAGAGGAAGAGGTAGACCTAAAAAGACTTGGCACAAAGTGGTGAAGGAGGACTTTTGCGTGAATGATCTCATTGCAGATATTGTACATGATAGAGCGCAATGACATCGTTTGATCCATATAGTCGATCCCACATAGTGGGATAATGCTTTGTTGTTGTTGCATTGAATTATGAATTACTCTAAACTACTGAATTGAAAATTGACACCACTCTTAACTGTTTATGGGTCCGCCACTGGGGTGGAGGAGGAATGTTTAGCATATATATACAAAATAGAACACTATTTGTCCCCAAATGAACGGAATGTTAAATTGTTATTTGTGTTAAGATTGCTAAAACACACACGATCCAAGATGAAGAAAAATGAATAACGCGCATAAAAGCTCTACAGAATGGAACTTGGAAATTTTGTGGTAACGACCAGTAAGTAAAATTCACCACGGTATAAGATTATAAATTGATGATTTCATAGTATGTCCAATTACATTGAATGAACGTTGTAAAATAGTTACACAAAGAATAATAAAATAGATTGAAGTGCGAGAACGAGATTTATTTGACACTACATAAAATATTACCAAGGTTGTTCAGTCGACAAGTCGAGTGAAGTCGGAGAAGGGGAGACTAGTGGACTAGTCGACTAGTTGGCCTTCTAGTCGTAGCCTAGTCGACAAATCACAATTAGTATTGAGATTTTTAACATTATATATATATATATATATATATATATATATATATATATATATATATATATATATATATATATATATATATATATATATATATATATATATATATATATATAG